CGCCTTGATATATCTGAGATATTGTTATCGTGAGTGGTAAAACGAATTACTTCGCTTATCAATACTGGAATTATAACGGCATGTGGCCGCCATGTTTTAGTACATGCTTATCAATGCAATTAACCACGAAATATCGCGAGACTGCCGTTTGTAACCATTTAAAATGTGACATTGTGTGAAGGAATATTATATTAATACTGACAAATTCGCAAATTTAAAAATGCTTAATTGAACTTTTTTGTGAATTCAGCGCATGGACGATGAAGCAGATCAGTTCAGCTGGGCGGATAAACAGTACGTATGTCTCTCGGCTCTTTTTAGTACCCAACTTTTACTACTGAGTCCATCGGTGTTACATCTAATGTGCTTATATCGAAATGTATCTTGACGAACTGTAGTATTGAAGTTACTTTGGAGACGAATATCGTGAGACCTTAGTCGAATAAACGTTGATCTCGACCTACAACCTACCAAGACTGTACATCTGATTCGTGCAAAGCTAGACCTGCCGTAAAACGTCGCCGACATGCCCCCTGTGGCGAAACACCACGTCGCCGAATACTTTGACGTGCCACGTGTGCCCCGCCCCCAAACGTCGCCAAATACTTTGACGTGCCACCTGTGCCCCCAAAAACGTCGCCAAATACTTTGACGTGCCACCTGTGTCAAAAAAAAACCGTCGCCGAATACTTTGACGTGCCACCTGTGCCCCAAAAACGTCGCGGAATTCTTTGACGTGCCCCCTGTGTCGAGCTCGAGTGTGTCGAAAAACACGTCGCCGAATACTTTGACGTGCTACCTGTGCCCTAAAAAACGTCGCCAAATACTTTGAGGTGTCACCTTTTTGAATCAAACGTCGCCGATTACTTTGACATGCCACCTGCGTCGAAAAAACACGTCACCGAATACTTTGACGTGCCACCTGTGTCGAAAAAAACAACGTCGCCGAATACTTTGACGTGCCACCTGTGTCCCCAAAAACATCGCGGAATACTTTGACGTGCCCTCTATGTCGAAAAAAACTGTCGCCGAATACTTTGACGTGCCACCTGTGCCCCCCAAAACGTCGCGGAATAATTGGACGTGCCACCTGTGTTGGTAAAGAAACGTCGCCGATTACTGTGACGTGCCACCTGTGTCGAAAAAAACGACGTCATCTACTTTGACGTGCCGGCACGCCTCGATTTAACGTCTAACAGGATGTGCTACCTGTCTCGAAAACGTCTGGCTTGATGTGTCTTGTCACAGACGATTCCTGTTTGTTCGTCCGATATCCTCCTCGAGCCCGGGTACATGCCCCAGAGTCATGCTTGCCTGCATCTTGCAGGATACACTAGCTATGTCCCAGGAGCTGCTTAACGTGTGCTAGAGTTTACAAAGACCCCGACAAGGTCCAGGCGTGTCAGAAACGTGACTATTTGTCTTGGTGTGACAACATCCTTCCTTTATTCACAGGTGTGTGTCTGTGTGTGTGTGTATTTGTCTGTGTGTTTCTCTTTCCTTCTTTCACTCTCTCTCTCTCTGTGTCTGTGTGTGTCTCTCGCTCTATGTGTTTCGTTTCTGTGTGCGCGCGCGCGTGTGTTTTTATCTCTCTTTGTGTGCGTGCGAGTTTGCGTGCTTACGTAACACATGTTGCAATTAAAGGAAAACCTAAATGGAAGCACCCGCGTCAGCTCATGACGGCACAGTGCCCAAGTTCGTATTCAGTATTAGAACGGTTCCCGTGTACTTTGTCGTATGACAGGTGGCTGGGCTCGGCGACTCAGCCCACGGCGTGCCATTGTACCCCCGTAACATGGATCGTTTCTCATAGCATCTTTAATATTGTACACATGTAAGAGAACGATCATTTTCATTACTGAATTGATAACACTGTCAAAACAAATATTTATTAATTTTACAGGTCCACAACGAGGAAATTGGATTTCTGAAACCAAGTTAAAGATTGCATGAAGATGGCAAGAAGATCACGCTGGTTGTGATCGAGAATCATGATCTTTCATTGCAAAAAAACCAGGTTACCTCGCAAAAAACCCACCAGAAAACAACCCCAACCCAATGACTGTCAGCTGACCTGGATGAGGCGTCTCTGTTGTTTCTGATGCCAGTATCTAATACTTTATAGCACTGTGTCCCTGATCCAGTCGGCTATTATAGTCTGAAGACTTCTGTATTATAAAAATATATGCCATTTGTCATCTCTCGCACGTTTCCGTAAAATGTGGAAATAGGGTCACAAATAGTCTCCGGTGAAATGTATGTGCTGTAATGAGAAAAATGCACAGGGCATTTTAAATGTTTGGTGTGAATAATGTTACAATTCAGTGTTTGAGTATTTATGTATATATGGATAATTGTAGCGATTATATTCAAATGAACTAACGATAAAGGTATGTGTAAATATTAAAAATATTTATGAAATCGATAATCACGACTGTCTTAAAGATTACATATATGTAGATAGTACTGTAGCAATAACCGAATTATTTGTTCATTTTTAACCAGAATGCTTTTCTCGAATTGCGGATAACTCGACTATATCGTTTCCAGGAAATCGATTTAAGAATGTTAAGTCAAAAATGTTTTAAACAGTTTTCCGCTGTGTGTATTTCAAATGCCAAGATCTGTCAAATAAAATGGATAAAATGTTAGTGGTTGTCTAATCAGTTGTTAACGGGAGCCATCGAACGATACATATAGACTGGAAGACAAGTGTGCGCGTGCATGAACACTTCGCACGGAGGATGGAAGGTCAAACCTAAGTTTAAATTCAACCTTGTTTGTGGTTTTAGCATCTTTTTTGTATGAGTGCTTGATGGCTAGTTTTCATTCAGTATAAACATAGTTCGAGTTCAGTGATTGGTTAAACGTCCACTCATTGATAAACTATGTCCTCGACTGAAGTAACGATCTTTTGTGCCTCATCTCGAGAAACAGTGAACTATGTGAACCCTACTCTGCAAAAGTTCAACATATTGATGTCTTGTTAGTGAGTGAGTTTAGCTTTACGCCGCACTCAGCAATATTCCAGCCAAATGGCGGCGGTCTGAAAATAATCGAGTCTGGACCAGACAATCCAGTGATCAACAGCATGAGCATCGATTTTCGCAATCGGGAACCGATGACGTGTGTCAACCAAGTCAGCGAGCCTGACCACCCGATTGATGTCTTGTGAAAATGAGCATGTAATTAGACATGTTGCTGCGTTCATGTACTATACTATTTCTCATTATGCGACACATAATGCTACATGTACATCTATACAATATGATTGCTTTACGTATGGTTTGATGATACAACTTTGTTTGATATTGTGTGATGTATGTATCTATTCTATATGGGCCAGTATTGTACTATGGGCCGATGGCTTTCAGTTGTGCAAATAAAAAAATGAGTGAGAATGCTGAACACTTAATCTAACACTCAACCTAACATTCAACCAAACACTTAACCTAACACTCGGCCCAGCATTCAACAAAATACTAAGCCTAACATTCAACAAAACATTTAATCTAACAATCAACCGAACACTTAATCTAAAATTTATCCTAACATTCAAACGAACACTTAATATAACATTCGACATAATATTCAACCGAACACTTCACCTAACACTCAGCCTAGTATTCAGCAAAACGCCCAACCTAACATTCAACAAAACACTTAACCTAACATTCAACAAATCACTTATCCTAACATTCAACCGAACATTCATACACCCTCATCCACACACTCACTCCCTCAGTATGCCAATCCTGTGATTTTGGAATATTTGTCACCTCAGTTCTTCACCTGACTATTTAACAACCATTCCCAAGGACGACATTTTAACTAAACAGTTGAAACAGGTGCTTGACGTATCGCCAACTGAGGGAGTCAAAACACTTATCGCCTCATTTGTACTTGACAAAAGAGGACGAGAGATCACCGTGAAGGTATTGTACTGCTGCCATGTTATCATATCTATCAGTGTGTGTTCATTTGGGTGACAGATTACAGGGGGATTATCAAAGCTGCATGGCCCCATAATATCTCCATTACCGTTGGTGACAATGAAGGTCCCAGGCACATCTCCGTTGGTAGGTGTATCAATTACATACAGGGTTTGTACAGGACACCTATATGTTTAACATTATATAGGCATAGCAATAGACCATGTGAAGACTTCCTGAAAACATGAAATGGAACATCCCTGGGCTTATAGAAGAGGAATTTGTATCTGAAAGTATTAACCTGGATTGTCATTGACTTACCATGGGACACTCTGTGTTTTAATGTGCACCTGAAATGGATGGTCATAACATATGTTCTAAAGGCATGAAATGCACCTGCGCTCAACACATCATGCACCATATTATTTGAAGATGTTTTCTTTCCAAGGATACGGTTGACGAATGGATAAGTCGAATCTGTGGTTTGACAGATCGTGATTAATTCTGAAGTTCAAGTAACAAGATGCTTGCCTCTTGTTGGAATGGTACTAGTCAGAGGTTTTAAGTATCCTCGCTATACATCGGAATGATCATTGTCTGGACACTTGTATTTCTGTGTGGTTTAATTCCACGAGTAACGTGTGGTAGGTTGTGTTATTTCAGTTCTTCTCTTATCAATCGTTAACATAAAATTAAATTTTGTCAATTTCGTTATGAAATTGGGTTGTGTTACTAATAGCAGAAATAGAACACGACGAAGAGGGATAGCAATGCCAATATCAATGTAATGGCGACTATGATATTCATGCTGGTGACGTTGACAATGAAGCGGCTTCTTACCAAAACCTGCTTTTTAATGATTAACGATACTCTTCACGCACAATCCCATATTGCATGTTCCATAATGTTGTAAATCCAGAGAGTGTTACTATCCGATGAACCAGACAAGTATCAAAGTGTTTGTATTGATGCCATTGTGTAAAAATGAGGTGAATAAGATGACGATCTGCACCTTCACAAATGTTTGCCTACGTCTCCATATTGTCTGTGATTTACCTGCAAAGGTCAATGTGGACGTCTGTACTTATTACAGGAAAGTGGATCAACATCATTTCCGACAGTGCATCGTACAAGAAGGTGAATGGGTTTGGGGTTAAAGTGACGGGCGAGAGTCACATGCTGCTCGAGGTGAAGGCGTGCCATGGGGCAGAGATACAGCTGCAAGAAGTAGACACAGGCACAGGTAAGGATGAGGGTGTACTGTGGTGGGTGGTGGTGGTGGTTCAGCTCCAGAGTCACATGCTGCTCGAGGTGAAGGTGCGTCAAAATGAACAGAGATACACCTGCAAGAAGTGGTCACAGGCACGGGTAAGGGTGAGGGTGTACTGTGGTGGTGGTGATGGTGATGGTGGGTGGTGGTGATGATGGTGGTGGCAGGTGGTGATGTTGGGTGGTGGTGATTGTGGTGGGTTGTGGGTGGTGGTGGTGGTTGTGGTCGGAGTTCAGCTCCAGAGTCACATGCTGCTCGAGGTGAAAGTAGTCAAAATGAACAGAGATACACCTGCAAGAAGTGGTCTAAGGCACGGCTAAAGGTGAAGGTGTACTGTGGTGGGTGGTGATGGTTTTAGGGGTTGAGATCGAGAGCTCGTCGACTCGGATAAAGTTAGGGATGTTCTACAAAGAAAGTGTCCTGACAGTCACATGGTGTTGGAAGGCGTGTAAAGGAGTGCAGTTACAACAAGATGGCTGTATCTCGGGTAAGATTGGGGCCGTACATAAGGAAGGCAAGCGCCACATTGGAAAATGGGTGGGAAATTCTGAATGGTCATACAACAGATTCAGCTCATATGAACAGACGTAATAACACTAGAAAGATCCTGATGCCTTGCATGATTTATGTCCTAGTTCGTATCCATGCCATTTGCCTGTGAGTTTGGCTCAGGAATATTTCTTAGAAATCCTTTGATTCTCTGGACGAAAATGGTCTGGATTAATCACATGTATATTTAGTCAAATAGAGGATGAATGAAGAAGGTAGACTTAGTGCAGAGATATGTCCCACAGATGAAGGAAAGTATAGGACCCATGGATGTAAATATGGTAATTTTTTGTAGAGAGGCGACTGGGTTTGGAGACACTTGACAAGCAGCAACTACTGAACACGATCTTGGTTTCGATCATGTTGACATTATCATGGATGCAGGGCAGCTGTCAAACGTCTCATGGAACAGTCTACATGTTGTAAATGTCAGGAAACGTGAGGTATCCCTTCTCACGTTTTGAACAATCCATTTGTAAATAATATATTGACCATTTCTGATCAGGTTCCTGGCTGTACTGCAAGCTCGGCGGCGACTTGAACGAGTGGACGGCTGTGTCTGCCAGCGAGCTCTGTGACGATGCTGGCTGTGAATGGCTCGGATACGACTACCGGCCTGTGTTGGACTGTGACAGCTTCAAGCCGTTTTGGCTGACCTGGGACGCGACTGGAACATTCAGTGTTGGGAGAGGGGATGTACTTGGTTCGGATGTGCTGGTGACGGGGACTGTGACGCCGTTTGAAGTCAACTTCTTCATGGTGTCCCACAATGACGCCAGTGTTGTGGCAGAATGGAAGATCCTCGTCGGTAGGTCTGCTGGATCCGTGTGTTTCATCGTAAAGAAATAGTCATGGAATAAGCCACGCCCACCTTTGTCTCTCTGTAGTGCATCATTGCACTGAAGGAAGTCACGGTTATTTATACATAATCGCCGTGTTTAGTTCAAGTGGTTCTCTGTGACTGTGAAAACTATTTTGGCTGCAAATGTAATAGGCGAGAATTGTGTTATTGCAAGGCTATGTCACTGGTTCCGAGTAGATTTATGCATGTAAATAATGAAATAAGAGGTCCGTAAAGATGTTTTATTGGTTTGACTTTTATGGAGATGTTGACGTAAACACTGGGGGAAAGCTTTATGTGATTGAAACACACGTGGTTCTGATAAAGTCGGGGATTTCTTTAAGTTATTAAAGAGCCTTTGTCACCTGTATTTATGTATTCTATGTCTGTATGTATGTCTGTCTATATGTCTGTTTGTATGTCTATATGTATGTATGTCTGTCTGTATGTCTATATGTATGTTTGTATGTCTATATGTATGTCTGTATGTATGTCTATATGTATGTCTGTATGTATGTATGTCTGTCTGTATGTCTGTATGTCTGTATGTATGTCTGTATGTATGTCTGTATGTATGTATGTATGTCTATATGTATGTCTGTATGTATGTCTGTATGTATGTCTGTATGTATGTCTGTATGTATGTATGTATGTCTGTATGTATGTCTGTATGTATGTCTGTATGTATGTCTGTATGTATGTCTGTATGTATGTATGTATGTATGTATGTATGTATGTATGTATGTCTGTATGTATGTCTGTATGTATGTATGTATGTATGTCTATATGTCTGTATGTATGTCTATATGTATGTCTGTATGTATGTATGTGTATGTATGTATGTATATGTCTGTATGTCTATGTATGTATGTATGTCTGTATGTATGTATGTATGTCTGTATGTGTCTGTATGTCTATGTATGTCTGTATGTATGTATGTATGTATGTATGTATGTCTGTATGTATGTATGTATGTCTGTATGTATGTATGTATGTATGTCTGTATGTCTGTATGTATGTATATGTATGTATGTCTATATGTATGTATGTATGTGTATGTATGTATGTCTATATGTCTGTATGTATGTCTGTATGTATGTCTATATGTCTGTATGTATGTGTATGTCTATATGTATGTCTATATGTCTGTATGTATGTCTATATGTATGTATGTATGTCTATATATGTATGTCTATGTATGTCTGTATGTATGTCTGTATGTATGTCTGTATGTATGTATGTCTATATGTATGTCTGTGTATGTATGTATGTATGTATGTATGTCTATATGTATGTATGTATGTATGTATGTCTATATGTATGTCTATATGTCTGTATGTATGTCTATATGTATGTATGTATGTCTATATGTCTGTATGTATGTCTGTATGTATGTCTATATATATGTCTATATGTATGTATATATGTCTATGTATGTCTATATGTCTGTATGTATGTCTGTATGTATGTCTATATGTATGTCTATATGTATGTCTGTATATATGTATGTCTGTATGTATGTGTATGTCTGTGTATGTCTATATGTCTATGTATGTCTATATGTATGTCTATGTCTATATGTCTATGTATGTCTGTATGTATGTCTGTATGTATGTCTATATATATGTCTATATGTATGTCTATATGTATGTATGTCTATATGTATGTATGTATGTATGTCTGTATGTATGTCTATATGTATGTCTATGTATGTATGTCTGTATGTATGTCTGTATGTATGTCTATATGTATGTCTATATGTCTATATGTATGTATGTATGTCTATATGTATGTCTATATGTATTCTATATGTATGCATTATTTACATGATTGTGTCTAACAAGAGGACATATGTTAGATATGTAAGATCTTTTTGTTGTGGAACTGAATATTTGACCTGTTCCTCGACATGCTGTTGAATTGCCGAAATGCATATACAGTTAGACTTCTAGAAACACCCACTCCAAGACTCCCCAAACGGCAAACACTGTCATCTACACTGATACACTGAAATCTGACCACGGCAACGCCCGACATTTTACTAACGCTTCAATGAATATCCATTCACTGTTCTCCACTATCTACCAGACGAACCCCCGACGTTCATCAGCCCGGCGTCACTGGGTACCACGGTAGTCGACGTTGGCGAGGATACTCCCATCGGCGTCGTCATCTACACCGCAACGGGGACGGACAACGAGGGAGACGCACTCACCTTCACGCTTGATACTCATGACGATGTATATGAGTTGGTTGGAGGAGAACTGAGGGTCAAACAACCCCTGGATTATGAAACACTGAACACATATCGGCTCCTGATCAGGTAGATTGTAACTTCAAAACCCTCTCTTTTATTATATAACTGGGTTAGTCATTTCAGTCATCCAGGCTACTTCTAACAGTAACATGCATGTATACTGACTTCAGTGAAGAAAAAGAAAACTTTAGACACTTTCAAAATATATTTTCAGTTTTCATCATTTCCAACACTGAGCTAGAAGTTACTATGGCGTATTTATTTACTTAGTACGGTACTTTTACACTGAACTATGTGGCATATTTTCTCTTAGTCGGATCCAATATTCCTCTCATTAATCCATTCAGCCAACCAGTTCCGTGAGGTATATCTCCATTGTAGTGTGTTAACTGTGAAGGTCGGTTGAATAAGAGTAAACACAATCACACTGTCCTGCGGATTACGCTTTTAGTATTAATGTATAATTTGCGTATTGTTCAGATATGTTTCATGAAACTAATTTCATTATCAACATTTAGAATTTTAAACCTAAGTAAAACTGACAAAATAGATAATAATGCATACATTCTTAATGGAATTGTCTTGTTCAATGAATTTATTTATGTTTTCTTTTTTATCAAAACAATGACGTATAATCATTGGCCAGGTGCGCGTTTGTCACAAACGTTTTCACGATCATTGTTTTCGATAATACCGTGAACAAAACATCACGGAAATATAGTGTCCTTATCCACAGCAAATTCTCTAAAAGTGATCTGAGTTACAATGACTAATTGTTAAGCATAGCGGAGTGATGCCCCCTTATCTTTATAAACGTATGAACTATTGTAGTCATGTAACGTCATAGAGGAAAACCCAATTTAACACATATTGCGGGTCATTTTTAAGATTGAGTGTATAACGTTATACATAAGCACACAGACCAGTTTAATACATACTTATGTCGTTCAGATATCAGACAGTATGTTGTTCGCTCACACTTTCCGTAAAGATGCCAAATTAGAAATATAGTAGCACAGTATTTTTATCAGTGCACGACAAAAAGTGGAGGAATTTACTGTTTTTAACGCATAACAAAATTCGGGATAACATATAACATATTTTTACACTATAGTATAGGCAATTTAATATTCTATACATTTCTGTGTAATTTAATACCTGTAGGTAGATCCAATGCTGCGCAAACGAAATTCTGTCACAACGTACACTTTTCAAGTAAGTTAATGACGCTCTAATGATACCCCAGAACATTCATTAAGTTAATGACGCGCTAACTTTCTCCATAGCTTCGATCTGAGTCAAAATTAACTAAAAGTCATGAATGACAGAAGAAGAGGTGGTCACATCCGAAAGGAAGACATGGTAACGATTGGATCTCGGGAATTGATCTTGACGGAATTGCGAAACAGCAGACTTTGTAAATGGGAATATATTAGTCACTTTTGGCTATATGCATCAAATTAAGAAAGCATGTAGTTGTGAATAATCTCTCACTTGCTGAACAAAATGGCAGTCAGTCATTCAAAATCATGATCGCTTACTCGACTGAAGCTCTTCTCATACCAATACAACATGATCGTGTAAGGCACCTCAATTCACTGTGCAGAGTTACGCTCCTTGGACACGCCAGAAACTGCTGATTGTTGGTTCAATCCCCGTTCGCCCCCGATTATGTTTCTAGGTCTTACAAACCAAACGCCAAATTTGCAACACTTTCTTCGCACATTAAGTTGACACGCCGTGACATAACTGAAATATTGTTATAAGGAGTGCTAGTGATGATTTTATTTCACGTTTCATTGCTATATTTCGACATTTCTTTTCAAATAGCTATTCAAAGCGAATAATTGGTTCCCAATATCATGGCGACTGTGATAAAACACCATCCGTATTGAAAAAAACCCTATAAGACAAAACATTACTCTGCTGAAATACTACTATACAGCTTGTTTGTTTTATCCTCGATACTTTATTTGTTCAAGACATACTACTTCATTAAACAATGGTGTTTGATTCGAAAGTCTCATTAATTTTATAAAAATAGATCTAAACTTAACCTATGAGACCCGTGAAGGTCCGGGTTAGAATGAGCCTTCAGTAACCCATGCTTGTCGTAAGAGGCGACAAACGGAATCGGGTGATCAGGCTCGCTGGCTTGGTTGACTGACACATGTCATCGGTTCCCAATTGCGCAAATCGATGGTCATGCTGGTGGTCACTGGATTGTCTGGTCCAGACTCGATTATTTACAGACGGCTGCCATATAGCTGTAATATTGCTGAGTGCGCCGTAAACCTAAACTCACTCCCTCACTTAATCTATGATATTGTCGAGCAGGTATGACCGGTCCATTTCACAAGGCCATTTAATTCGCTGTGAGTTCCGCCCCTTGGACATGCCGGGATCCACTGATTGTGGTTTTTAATTCAAGATTCGTCGTTAATGTCATCATTGGGTTGTCAGTATCTTATGCCATTGGGTTGTCAGTATCTTATCACGTTGGGTTGTCAGTATCTTATCCCGTTGTCAGTATCTTATCCCGTTGGGTTGTCAGTATCTTATCCCGTTGGGTTGTCAATATCTTATCCCGTTGTCAGTATCTTATCCCATTGGGTTGTCAGTATCTTATCACGTTGGGTTGTCAGTATCTTATCCCATTGGGTTGTCGGTATCTTATCCCGTTGTCAGTATCTTATCCCGTTGGGTTGTCAGTATCTTATCCCATTGGGTTGTCAATATCTTATCCCGTTGTCAGTATCTTATCCCATTGGATTGTCAGTATCTCATCCCGTTGTCAGTATCTTATCCCATTGGGTTGTCAATATCTTATCCCGTATCGTATCCCGTTGGGTTGGGTTGTCAGTATCTTATCCCGTTGTCATCTTATCCCGTTGGGTTGTCAGTATCGTTGTTGGTTGTCAGTATCTTATCTCGTTGTCGTATCCCCGTTGGGTTGTCAGTATCTTATCCGTTGTCATCTTATCCCATTGTGGGTTTATCCAAGTGGTCAGTATCTTATCCCGTTGGGTTGTCAGTTGTCAGTATCTTATCCCGTTGGGTTGTCAGTATCGTATCCCGTTGGGTTGTCAGTATCTTATCCCGTTGTCAGTATCTTATCCCGTTGGGTTGTCAGTATCTTATCCCATTGGGTTGTCAGTATCTTATCCCGTTGTCAGTATCTTATCCCGTTGGGTTGTCAGTATCTTATCCCATTGGGTTGTCATCTTATATCTTCTTATCCCGTTGGGTTGTCAGTATCTTATCCCATTGGGTTGTCAGTATCTTATCCCGTTGTCAGTATCTTATCCCGTTGTCAGTATCTTATCCCGTTGTCAGTATCTTATCCCGTTGTCAGTATCTTATCCCATTTGGTTGTCAGTATCTTATCCCGTTGTCATTATCTTATCCCAGTGGGTTGTCAGTATCTTATCCCGTTGTCAGTATCTTATCCCATTGGGTTGTCAGTATCTTATCCCGACAATGCGTACTACTAACACCTTTCGGCAGAGACGTCTTGGTCTACCTGAACGTCATTGAATTGCTAATGCGTCATGATAAAGACGTTTTATTACTGTGCAGCATGTCCGACGGTCGGAACACCCAGCAGGCGAGGATGACGGTACGTGTTACTAACGTCGTTGATGAGACGCCGGTGATAACGTTGTCAGGGACTTTGTCCATCACGGAGGAGATGGCAGTTGGCAGCGTGGTAGGTAACCTCTACACCGTGGACGACAAAGACGAGGGGGACACACTCACGTATGCGATAAGTGGTGAGAGGATCTTGTTGTCAAGTAATCAGTATTCTTTGACGGGGAAAATATTCATTACATTCGTCTGTGATCAACGCCAGTCAGTAATAATCAAACAACACTCGTGCCATAATACTACACTCTCTCAAAAAAGAAACGCAACCCCTGTTTTTTTTGGTAATGTTTATATCAATTTTAACTGGTTATTACATTTGTATTTTTAAAGATAATGCCATGAAATTTGACATGGTGAACCTTAGGTCAGCACGGTATAAGGTAACAGTTAATGCAGGTCAGTATCGAACTCTCAATTTACGCTAGGGGGCGTTGTCTTCAGTATCTCGTTGTAGAGCCACGAGCTCTAATCACAGCAGTGCACCTCCTCGGAACAACGAATCAGACGGCGGATGTTTTCCTGGGGGATTGCTCTCCACTCTTCCTGGAGTGCTGCGGCCAGTTCAACCAACGTGTGCGGTTGTGGTGTACGTGCACGAACACGACGATCCAGCTGGTCCCACAGATGTTCGATAGGATTGATGTCTGGCGATCTGGAGGGCCACGGCATCACGTTGACGTTTGAATTCTGTAGGAATGCCACTGTTGCACGAGCTGTATGAGGGCGGGCATTGTCATGTTGAAACAACTCCCTCTGTTGGGCGATTATCGGCAGAAGATGTGGCTGTAAGACGTCATCAATGTACCGTTGTGCCGTCAAATTGCCAGGAATGATGACCAAGTCTGACCGTTGGTTGTAAGACATGGCTCCCCATACCATGATGCTTCCTCCTCCAAATCTGTCGACCTGTCGAACGCAGTTCGGTGCAAAACGTTCATTTGCTCGTCTATAGACACGTTGTCTACCGTCACGTCGTTGAAGAAGAAAACGAGACTCGTCACTAAACCAGACTCTTCTCCAGTTTCTTAGGGTCCATCTCCTTACGTTAGTACACCACCTGAGACGTTGGCGTCGATGTTGGCGTTTCAAGACGGGCCCAACAACTGGTCTTCTTGCACGTAAATTTGCCTCATGTAAACGGTTCCTGATGGTTTGGGCCGATACTCTCCTCAAACCTGGCACCTGTGTTGCAGTGATGGTGGGTGTGGCATGCCGATTACGTAGGTGGCTGAGTCGAATAAAGCGATCCTGAGCCGGTGTGGTGATCCTAGGTCTACCACTCCTGGGACGATCTTCAATTGCATGGAAATGTGTGTAACGATTCCAAAGTCGTGAGATTGTTGTTTTGTGTACGTTTAGATGACGGGCAACTGTTCCAAAGCTTTCCCCGGCCTCAATGCGACCAATGGCAATATTTCGATTTGCTGTACTCAAACGGGGCATTTTCGAACTTGATTTGCAGAGCAAATTATGAGAGAAAAATTACAAACTACGCGTGCTTTTAAAACCCTCTACATGAACTGTGTTTTCAACGATTTGCACGTGCAACAGGCTTTTAGCATTTTGTACATGACAATTTCGCACTTTCTCAAATAACACGGATACAAAGGTCATCATGTGTGAAAATGGTTCCGTTTGGGAGCTTATACTGATCAGATGGGAACGTATTAACAGTATTTTGAAGAAAATTCTAATTTACATTCACCATCTTTATTCTAGAAATGATGTCAGATATTTAGATAGGGGTTGCGTTTCTTTTTTTAAGAGAGTGTAGTATACGGTTAGCAGAAAAATACCAAGTCAATCAATAATCGCAGTCAATCATATTCGGACTGAACTTTTCAGTCACCTCAATTTGATTTATCTTACTGGAATACTCTAAGTAAGCATTATGATTATTGTAACTTACTTTCGACATTTGAATGGTCTTTTAAACCTAGAAACTACGAAAATTCAAAGAAGCTGCATGTCTCAATCAGATATTTTTATCTTTTGTATTTAATTGATTGTGTTTTCTTAATTTTTTTAATAGCCTAGGGGATTTTGAACATCAACAATGTTCATGTAAAACTGAATTATACATATTTACCCCTTAACAATAACTTGACAGGAAGTGATAGTACCTTCTTTGGAGTGGACGCAACATCCGGGGTATTGAAGATAGCTCATAGAATAGACCGGGACCAAGCGGCCTTGACCTCCGTCTCATTTGACCTTACTGTAACTGACAGCTCCGGTCTTGGGTCGTCCCAGACAATAACTGCGACGGTTGTAGACATCAATGACAACAACCCTGCATTCTCAGCGACATCGTATACGGTAGACGTAGCAGAGAATACTCTGATCGGTGAGTCCACATGCGCCCAGAAACGTCTTAGTATTGTAGTGATGCGATGGAAACAGTCAGCGTTCGAAATCAACGGCGGTCCTTAGGCCCGAAGCCGACTGAAAACCACTCGGACACACAGCTTTTGCTTTCTGCAGGTCCTTAAGATTATGGTCTTTTAGCTCGGGATTACTTACATTGTAGCAAAAATAAGGGGCCTTCATATTCTGATCAGGACCCACAACTTTTTATGGTTCTGGATCCTTAGGGCCTGCAGCTTTTCAGGGGTTAAGGGCAAACACTGGAAACAGTTCCTAACCGGAGAGTGGATGATCCCGGTTCGATAAAACAAAGAGACGTCAAAAATGGTATTTGTCAAACAAGGGTTGGTCGGCAGGTAGTCAGTGTATTATGTTTGATCCATGTTAAACTGCGGCATGGTAACCTTGTGGTCTAGCACTGTAAGCAGCATACAATGCATGCACATCGATATGAATATGAAACAATTTTAAACACAACAATAAACACAATTTCATCTCACCTCAGTTCATTCGGGAGAACCAAATATCTCATCTCGTCAGTACATCACCCTAATCATTTTACTGTAGCAAAAATATGTGCATAAATTTGATGAAACACATCTATACCATTATATTCTTAGAACGTTTGCTTTTCTTTGCTGTTGTTTCCATTGTTATTAACATAGTTCCTTTTGGCTGTATGAACAAGTAATTTGATTAATTGACTTGATAATCTTATGGTCATACTTCAAAATGAAAATCTCTGAAAACTGTACCAAATCTCAAAAATAAATGTATAACTGAAGTTGCTTTGTGAGTGTGTAAATCCCAACTCACGTATTCATTACTTATGTCAGATACCGTCGTCCTTGACCTTGTTGTGAACGATGCCGATGACGGCACCAACGCTGCTTCCAGAATCGCTCTACAAGCTGGTACTCCCCAAGACCTGTTCAACCTCACCGGAAGCCAGCTGAAGACAGTGACAAGTAACCTGGATTACGAATCTCTGTCGGTTTATGAGTTCATTTTTACCGTTATAGCGGTCAATGAAGACAGTCTGAGAACCGGCACCACGACCATCAGTGTCAAAGTGAGTACCTAGCTGGCAGAGGTATCGGTCAGTGAGTTGAAGGATTATCCTTCTTGGACACAGTTTGATGTAGACTCTGTATAGTCTTGGAACAGTCGTCAAGAACAGAACGTGAAATTGTCATGTTTGTCCTTTATCCAGATTTGAAAACAAATTTTGATGTAAAGCTCTTGCTTGTCCCAATTTGCAATCTGAGCTCCATGCGACACGTCCACTACAGTCATTGATAATATACTTCTCATCAAAAGTTTAAACTCACTAGTGTAAATATAGCCACTTACTTCAGGCAACTGTTCTAAACTAAAATTTGCAAAATATTCCATACTGTTTAAAGGTACTGTTTACGCATGAACGGATGTATTGTATAAAACAAATTCGTAACGTTGAAAAGATTATTGTCATGAGTTCAGTAAATGCTAAAAATGAGTGAAAATTCAGTGAATTCTTAACAAAACTTTACACCAAAACACAGCTGTTCACATACGCGATATTTGCACACGCTTTTCAGGAATTTGATGCATGATCCTCGTGCAATTCATCTGCATAATGTTTGCAGTTGGTTCCCCCAAGTTAGAGGAGAAATCAATCTTCGATGTAACCATATCTATCTATCTATCTATCTATACACACACACACACACACACACACACACACACACACACACACACAGATATATATATATATAAGTGAGTCTAAACTTTTGAAGAGAAGTATATATTGTATACATTAGGTGACACCAAGTTGCATTTAATAGCCTGAAGACGGTGATTATCCAGTTGAAAGTTGAAATTTAACACAATGTAAGTAATTATACTTTAGTAAGATAAATGTAAAATGGGTCTGAGTAAAAATTCACCACAACATCCTTATTGAGTATGCTTAAACACCGTGGATTCGAAACAATTTGTTTTAAGACAGCTTTGAATGGGATCTCATATATATTACGCTGCATTAACTTCTGGTCAATAAACCTTGAATCATTATCAAGGCATTACCTTAGCCTGAAAAGATTTACTGAGGAGAAGCATGTGTGTTTGATGTGTGACCTAGATGGGTGTGTCACAGTCTACTGATGGCGTAAATCATTGCCTATGTACTGATCCAGGTTACCCCGGTAAATGAATTCGACCCGGTTTTTGACACCCCTGCAGTGGACGGCTCCGGTCAGTTTCCGGGAATGAGTTTATCAGAGGACGTTCCTGTCAACAACGAAATCTCTTTCACAGCCTCCGACGGCGACCTGGGAGTTGACGGCGATGTCACATTCTCCCTCGTTTCCGTGCTGGACTGTGAGTTTTAACATATAGACATTAAGTCTGAAGATACGTAGTGTATTTCTGTTACCGACATTGTAAATTGTGACATGAGTAGGAATATGTAAAACAACGCTTTGAATGATAATACCGATGACGTCACATACAACCGTGATAACTAAACCCGCACTGATAGCGGAAAATGTGCAAATAAGTCACCGAATTCTGATAAATATTGCAATGCTTGATATCTGTAAAATCTGATAAAAACTTCGGGTTATCCACTGACAAGGTAGTTTTTAAATGTTGAATCTCAGACACTTATCAAGGAAGGAAGCTATGCGTAGTGGAAAGTCCAAACGATTTTGGGCATCAAATCTAATAACATTTTTTTGAGCCAGTCAAAATACAGTACACAGTCAGTAGGATATATAGTCTAGGTCCGTGTTCTATTTAATGATAAGTCTTATGAAAAAAGCCCAAATGTTGTTTAAATTCTTTGATACCTGATCCTCTTAGATGGGTAGACCGCCCCCGTGGTGTAGTGGTTAGAGCGTCCGCCCGGAGAGCGGAAGGTCGAGGGTTCGATCCCCGACCGCGTCATACCAAAAGACGTTAAAATATGGTACTTGTTGGTCCCTGCCTGGCGCTCGGCATTAATGGGTACAACAAGGACTGGTCGGGTCGGAGTCAGTATAATGTGTCTGAGTGTGGTATTCATGCTTCACTGCGGCATGGTATCTCAGTGAGCTAGCACTATAAAACCAGCTTCAGTCTGGGCTAGTACAAGCAGCCGCACATACACATATACACGCATGCACGTCGTCATATGAGCGAAATATTCTCAAGTACGACGTTAAACCCAATTTCACCTCACCTCATCTTAGATGTATAGGTGGATACAAATGTGAACCAATGACCACAGGTCCTGTCAATATCTACAAACCTATCTAGGAACATAATCCCGGTGAAACAGGACTCGAACCTATGATTAATAGGCTTCTGCTAGGCTGGACTGACACAACTGTGCCCCCTGCCGAGCGTGTTTGGTTAGCCAGATACAATACAATTATATATGTGTTCCATGAAATGTGAAGACGAATCATTCGTTTTCTATCTGCTCTGTCCTTTTCTTCTGCAGCGAAGGGAGAAGACAGCAGTGACAAATTTGTAATTGGTTCCCAAACCGGTCTCTTAAAGATAGTAAGCGTCTTAGACAGTGACACCGCAACTGGGGGCGTGGCCTATCATGACGTCACAATCAGGGTAACCGACGGTGCTGTTTCACCCAGATTCTCGGACGGGACTATACGACTGACGTTAACTGACGTCAACGACAACGTGCCCAAGTTTGATTCAACTCATTATGCCATCACCGTCGATGAAGACATTGCTGTGGGTGACGTTGTTGCTTCAGTGGCCGCAACAGATGATGACGGTGACTCGGTCACACTCACTTTAGAAGGAAGAGGAAGTTCTTTTGAAATAAGCGGAAGTGACGTTGTTCTTAAATATCCCTTAGATTATTCTTCGTCACCGCTTCATGTTTTGACGATAATGTAAGTATCCAGCATATTGGCTGTGTTTGTATGGCTGTTTGTCGTTTAAGGCAATAATCCGAAATGTCACGGCTTGGGACATGGGCAAATGCTGTGACGATCCGAGGACTAAGGGACCAGTCGTTTAATAAAGGGATTGGGTACAATGTGTGAAACCCATTTGTGGTGTCCCCCTGCCGTGATGTTGCTGGAATATTGCTAAAAGCGGCGTAAAACCATACTCACTCACTATTAAAGGGTCTGGGACTGATGATGGGTCCAGAGGTTTTTGAAGAACAAAATTATTCAAATTAATTCATAGTTATCGATGACACCTCAGATGTACATTCTTTCTGGATTCTAGAACTGTTTATCTAATCATAAAATGGCCATAATATATATGACCCTCTTCAAAGTATGTTTATAATATTTTATGACCTTCTCCAAGAATTATATGTTTGGTGACCCTTATCGGTTCCCTCTGACCCCGCCCACCAAAATATATGACCGGGTTTTGACAAAAAATATTTTAGTAGTGTTAAGGAAAAGAATCAAACCTTTCAACGTCAATAGATATATGAATATGTAAAGAAAGTCCCTTTTAATGGTAAAATTAACTTTTGATGTTATTCTAGAGCAGATGACGGGATGTTCACCACAAGCGCAGTGATGCTGGTTACCGTTGTAGAAGTCGTCACGACAACATTAAAGATCATTGTTGCGACAAATGCTGCTATCCTCGAGGATCAGGAAGAGGGGACAGTCCTAACGGGCGTGTTTGTGACCCACGGGAACACTGGTGCTGTCACCTACAGCCTAGGGGGTGAGGAACACATTCATCGTCAATCACTTGCTAATTTCCGTCCCCTGCTTGAGTGAGTGAGTGAGTGAGTGAGTGCGTGAGCGTTGTTTCACGCCGTTTTTAGCAATATTCCAGCAATATCATGGCGGGGGACACCAGAAATCGGCATTACACATTGTGTCCATGTGGTTACTCGAACCCGGGTCTTTATCGTAACGAGCAAATGCTATAACTACTAGGCTATCCCAACGCCCATCACCTGCTTGAAGGCACATCCCTTCCAGAACAATTTTGTTATTGTTTAACTTCAATACAGAATTTTCAGTTAATGCTCAAAATCATTCAACAGTTGACTCCATATGTGTGATATGTATGGAATACTGTAAGGGACATTCTCGATCTCGCATTCTTACACTTTTGGCATTTTTAGCTTGTTTCCAAAGGTCGAGATCGCGAGGATGTCCCTTACAGTATTCCATAGATATGGGTGTACAGTATTCCATAGATTATGGGTGTACAATTTGACTTCCAACACTGAAAGGCTTGTCTTGCTATGGTTTACGGGTTCTATGTACATTGAGTAGTCAAAAACGACATTTTAAACATGTATAAAACTTGAGAAATAATATTGTTGTTTTTGAAGGTACAAACGCTGGCTTCTTGTCAATGAACCCAAGTGGTGAGTTGAGCTACAGCTCGCAAAGGATTGACCGAGATGGCAGTGACGGTATAACGACGTTGTCAGACATTACGGCGAAAGCCGTTGACAGCACCGGTAACGAGGCCACAGCTGACCTCACATTCATCATCACCGACATCAACGACAATGCACCGTTGGCGACTACACTAGCACCGACGGCGCAGATTCGAGAAAACTCGCAGAATGGTATGTTGTTTGCAATTACCACCAAAAGCGTAGTGATCTTCAAATTTAAAACAATAAACATTTTGCACGTTATTTTACGACAAAGGTTATCATATATAATTATATATGCTATCAATATCGACCACTGGATAGTCTGGTCCACTATTTTCTGCTGTCAGTTTAATAGTTTGGTTATTGCATGAGAAATATTATATACAGTATTATAAAACTGTTAACAAATGGTTTTACATCTGTACATATCTACATCCATAACACTAAACGATTTAAATAACTTTGTCTGTACATATCTATACCCTTTGTCTGCCTCTTGTTGAACTTTTTTGTAATATACACTTGTAACTATGTGGAGAGGGCTTATTCAAGTTGGATAACTTGTGCCCAATCCGTTTCTTAATTGAATAAAATCATAAAACTGTAGCGCACGTAAAATATTGTAACTGTTCATCTTCTCAGTATGCAAGGTATAGTTTGGCATGAAATGCATGTGGACCCGTTTTTTTGTAAATATCTCTTCATCGAATGACCCAAACGATCTCAAACTGTCAGACAACCTAATCACATTGTAAATCACCGATTTTATGCATTTGTATTAAAGAATCTGTCTATGTAACTGTCAACAAAATAAACAGCAGAACGCAGAAGGCTTGCAGAGGGAGGGAGCCAATGACCTGTAACAGCGGTAGTGTTGGGTCATAAAGGTAAATGCACGTGCAGTTCATGATAGTTACCTGTGCACTGCACAGTGATAGACCGTTTGGATCATTCACATTGACTACTTCTAGCTGTCATCATGAAAGCTTATTCAGATGATGCTAAACGTTTAATTAGCAATGTGTTTAATTTTTTTTAAAAGAGAGCAAACGTAGCAAACCGATTTATAAGGTGTCGGATTACATGAAACGTACAACTTTTGCTCTTGGCATGAAACAGAACATCGTGCTAACAATTGTGAAAAATAAACCAACAGCCAATAAACAAAACCTTGTACAAAAGGTAGGCATCAAAGTTTTGGCATCAGGGTCATCAGCATAGCTGACCTACATTGACGAACGTTGACCTTTATGACCCAACACTGCCGCTGTTACAGGTCATTGGCTCCCTCCCTCTGCAAGCCTTCTGCGTCCTGCTGTTTATTTTGTTGACAGTTACATAGACAGATTCTTTAATACAAATGCATAAAATCGGTGATTTACAATGTGATTAGGTTGTCTGACAAAACATCCACTTGCACAGTTTGAGATCGATTGGGTCATTGGATGAAGAGATATTTACAAAAACGGGTCCACATGCATTTCATGCCAAACTATAGGCAGTGTACATTGAGCTTGGTGAATACTGTACTTAAACTGACGTTCAAAGAAAAGTACACACCTAGTTCTTTGGTAAAATATTTTCTTTAAAACAGCTTTAATATTTAAAACGTGTTTTGATTCTGCTTTGTCACAAACACCGTGCAAGTGTCTCTACAACACCACAGATACTGTACCAATTACAACACTGCTAGCAAAATATTTAGGTTTCTTTTGGAAATAGTCCCAACACACCAGGTGTGAACTTGCTTATGAACGTCAGTATATTTGAGATAGGTTAGAATGGGTTAGAAGGATTACACTACTCTGCCCAATTAATCAATTTGATTTTTGTTAAAAAATGACAGCATTAATTATATCAAATGGTATTGTATGAAATGGCATTTTGTAACTGCAACACAAAGTTCTGTTATTGTAGATCAGCTGGTGACATCATTAGACTTCACGGATGCTGATGAAGGTTCCAGCAGTAACATCACACTCAACATCGTCAGTGGTGACGTTCACGATGTGTTCAAAGTCGTCGACTACGACCTTTTTTGTCAGAGGCACCGAGATCGACTACGAGGCAATGACAAGCGACCACAGCTATGGTGTCGTCCTCCATGCTGTTGACAACCCAGTAACTTCAACACCGTTGACGTCAACAGTTACTGTTCACGTTGAGGTTGGATAGCGTTCAATACAATATCAAAGCGGAGACTTTGTCTTAAAGCGTGGCAATGTGTTTATCATGACAAAATAACAATTTTTGTCTGCATATCACATGTAATAGTAAATAGTTACACGTGGTTCACAACACGTAAACGAGTGACAGAACTATCACCTCGCATTATGCGGAAATATCTCTTCTGCATTCAAGACAATTTGTACCAGTGTACAAGTGTAGTGTAACTGTAAATAACCATGTAAAGCAAATACTAACCATACGCGATAAGAATGGAATTACAGCTTGTTCAGCTTGACCTGAACTACTCTACATATGCATGACCCGGGAGGTCAAATGGCACAAACGGCAGATCGGGTTATCTTCATTATATATGGGGTGCAGAGAATGTTATTAATGTTGCGTCCGTGCGAAGCATGCATACATAGATTCGTTACAGAACCTGTCCCGGAAAACAACACTTCAATTATCACTTTTTCTATTTCATGTTCAACTGCAATATTTCTGGCCCAGTAGTCGCTTTCCAAATTTTCAACAATAGGCACAACAATCAGTCCACTCGTTTACACCAATCATCGGACAAAGGTGCACCCCTTCACAATAATAGACCCAACCATTTGTGACACGGTCACGCAATTCATTAGTATTCACTTGATCAGGTCAAGCTGAACAAGCTGTAGCTGATCATATTTCTATCCTACATATCACATTTAAACCTGGACTATTTTGCATTGTCAGCTGGGTTGAGTCAGAGTCAGCCTGGAAGTAACATTGCATGGTCTTGCCATTCCTCTGCTTTTAGATTCTGGGGGAGAACGAGCACGACCCGTCATGGACGTCCCCCCACACTCGGGGTTGGCTCCACCTTCCCTGACGTGACCATCAAGGAGTCTGCCACCCTGGGGCAAACGGTGGAGACGTTTGTAGCCACTGACGACGACGGCGGCGATGACGGTTTGGTTACATACAGCGTTCTGGACATCAAGAACCGTAAGTGGTGTTCTGCATCCCGTATGTCACATAGATCGCAGATTGGCTCACCTGTACAAAACAGAAACCATAGAATTATGATGCCAAGTTTTGGATGGGAAATGTTAAACGAAACATAGAACTGTTTTACAATTTCGTGTGCATGTATGTAGACGACGATACAGAGACCATATGGACCGTGATACATTACACACATGATAAAACAGATATTTCCAAATGACACCCATTCAAGATTCTCCAATTGTTCTCCACCTATTCCTAATATCTACAAGAGTATTTCATGACAAATGGGGATTGCTTGGATTATCTCGAAGACAGTTACTTTCCCGAATGTGTTTCATCATTCTGGAATATGTTCTTGACATTCTAAAGTTAAGTCGTTAAAACAAAGTATAATAACCAGAGTTTATTGTTAACAACACGTTGCGCAGTTATCATTGCTATTTCCATGGTTTACCGTCAGAAGGCCAAAGGGACGCACATCTCGACTTTCATTATATGCATGGGTATGATGCCGAAAATGTGAGGTTCATAATTCATGTTCACTGTCCAGGATCAACGTAAATTTACACATACCTCAGACATGAAACGTCAAAAACCTGACAAAGAAGATTGCCAGTATCAAAGGTCACCCAAAACATTGAACCGGAAACACTCCATCTGAACATTACTGATGTCATTGATAGTGATCAGCTATATGACGTGCTTTCAGCGTCTGGCACGAGTATGACGGGCAAGTTTGAGATGACGACGGACGGGCGTCTGGTGGTAGCGTCCCAACTGGACTACGACGCCGACACTGGCGGAGTGGACTACTACACCGTCACCGTCGCCGCCAGTGACAGCAGCACCACCAGCGTGAAGAGCACCACCGGCGATATCAAGGTCATTCTGGAGGATGTTGAAGTGGAGAATGTCATCAGTAAGTGTTCTCATCACGGAGAGGGCGGTAGGGGTGGCTACAATTGCACGTCACGTGGTATGCACGGGTGCGATTCCTCACATAGATACATGTGTGGGGTCCATGAAGAGCACCACCGGCAATGTCAAGGTCATTCTGGAGGATGTTGAAGTGGAGAATGTCATTGGTTTGTAACGAAATATAGAATATTGATTAGTTAGTTGACCTAACTAAGGTCCTCCTGATAATATTAAGAATTATAACTGATAGAATGTAGGTGTATGCCGCATTCATATCACAACATGTCAGCTAGTCCATTAGTGAGATCTATATCTCTCTATCGAGAGCCCGGAAACCCTGATTTCTGACTGCTGTCTTGGAAACTGTTAGGTACACTTTAAAACACTTTTTGCTAATGATTAGTTTACTGACTTAACTGAATTTTTGTATGTACTCGACTGTACATTACAGTATTGCCAAAGCAACTGGTTGCCGACACTACATCGGAGCTGTGGGTACTGAGGACATCGGTTGTCGTACTGGGGACCGCCGCCATTGTGCTGGCTTGTGCCATGATCAGAAGCATCATGTAAGTTTTGAAATACTAGTATTATGTAGTTCTTTCTGATGTCTTACATAGTGCATACCGATGTCCTATATCACGCCTGCTAATGTCTCTATACTGCCTATATCTTATGAAATGCATGCTTCCATTAATCAGTCCATAGTTTCTTAAATTCTGCATGACTTTAAGCTCAACTCTCTCTCAATTTGTCCATCTTTATACATTGCCGACTTCCTCTCTTCAAAGGCTTGTCGGATTTTACTGTAAGAGAGTTCACGTAATTTCGAGATATTAAGACTGGAATTTAAATAAGGCCTGGAACATAAATATGCCAAAGGTAGCCATTTGAGAAAATAGAATCTGAAACTTGATGGATGACAGGGACACCATCAAAGACAAGGACACTTGTACTAATTTATACAGGATAAATTGTCTTCTTTTCAGAGATACTGTGTCATCTTCTGCTCGAAACGTTAGTGAGTGAAACCTTTGTCAAACCATTCTTTAATGATGATTGAACGCAAATTTAAATTTCGCTCAACTCTCCAACAACATTTCTGCTTGCACTAGTTTTGTTCTTTACATAAAAGAAGAAACTTCTGATTTACTTTGTCATTAAGTAGAAATTGATAGCGATATCATATCAAAACATAAACCCCACTGCCGTTTAATCAGAACTCAAACATATGTTTTTGTTTTAAAAAGAATATAATGAGATTGAAAACGTTTTAAACTTTAAGAGATAATACACAACTACTAATTGCTATCCTAGATATCATATCTTTGAAAGCCAATTTTACTTCTTTGGCATAAATGTGCATTTCAAACATTGCATGCCTCATGTAGTAGCAGATTTCACACATTACCCAGTCACAGGTAATTGATTTTATGAACGCTGCAGGAATGAGTGATGGTTAAATTAACATAATCAATTCGATCCCACTGAAAGCTCGGTATGCTTTCCTTTTCACCTAACTGTTATTATGAACGTTTAATCCTTTCGATTGATTTACCCCAGCTAAGCCTCCAGACAAAGTTTGGATGGAGAGAACAGTGTCGGTGACACCTCACATGTCTCTGGAGTCTGTGGTAAGTATGGAAACCTGTAAGGAACATAGTTTTGTCGTACTGAACTATAACAGATTGAATAACGGAAATTTATGAAATAGAAAATGCAATTTCGGAGACACCACAGGCATGGTACCTGTGGTTGAGTGAGTGTACGCGCCGCTTTAAGGAACTTTCTCCCAACATTGCTCACACGGAGATGTTGAGGTTCAAGCCGGCCTCGCTTGTGGCTAGAGAAGCTCAATCAACAATACCATCCTACGCATTAGGACTGGGACGTGTCCAAATCTTCTACCCGGGTGCCCCACCTATTACCCTACCCTACCCTACCCAGATACGTTATGTTAATCCCTGACATCAAATTTGTAAGAAATGGCAATATATTCTTCAGGCCGTAGGCTAAAATTTCGAGTTTTTCAATATCTTAACCATGTATTACATACAAAACAGGCGACTGTAAATTATGTCTAAATCTTCAAAGACAATACAACCTTTCAATCATTAAAGAATAACACACTACATTGTTTAATCTCTTAGTCACATGATCATAACGGGTCCGGGTATTGAGACGGGTACCCGGGTCCAACTCATTACCCACCCGTCCCGGGTATCCCAGTTACCCGTCCCAGCCCTACTACGCATTGTCACATTATATGCATCGTCATATGTCTTTCCTGGATGAGATCTATCAGTTACAATATCATTAAAACTGTTTCTAGGATCTGGTCGAGGCATGGGTGTCGCATTCCTCGGAGGCGTCGTGATTTCTTGATCAGAGTTACCTCCCTTAGTCGTGCCAGGTCACTATTGCCTTAACGACAATGTACTCTTGCTCAGTAGCTTTACCGGTCAACCTGACACCGTGATATAACTGAAAGACAGTATAAAGCGCCATTACACAGTGCCATCTTGTTACTGATTACTCACTCCGTCCAACTTATGGTTGCAGATAATTGATGACGACGATGATAGTTTCACATCTATCGTGTTCAGGTGGGTGTTTAGAAGGTGTTTGACTCTTGCACACGTCGGATTCAATCTGAATTCAGTGATTTCAACGTTTGTCTTAATCACCCAATCCAGAAGCAACTCCATTATAAGAGATAAATATTTCAATGTTAAAACTGTTAAGGATCTTTTTAATACTGTTCATCTTCATTTAATTCTTGCTTTTTAAAAATAAATTGATTTAATTAGTCCCGCCGTGATGTTGCTGGAATATTGCTAAAGACGGCGTAAAACCAAACTCACTCAGTCAGTCAGTACTGAGCAGTTGAAGGATGTAGGATGATCAATATCAGTTTGTATACAACAGTTCTAAAGTCTGCAAACCACAGACTGAAACATATTAGCTACCTCCCGTCTAATTCGAAGCCGAGTTTGAAGCATGCGAAAAGCCTTTAGGCGTTCATTGGGTTGTAGACGCATTTCTAATTGCAAAGTTCACAAATACTGCATTAAAGTATGATTGGAGAGCTAACGTGGTATTTTTGACAATGAAAATAATCAATACTAAGGGCAAGAGTAATGCTGACAACCTTTCCCTGAAGTATAAAGACCCCCTCCCCATGGGCGACCAAGCGTGGCATCTCCACTTCATGACCCCTTTCTTCTATATACGGTATACCTTTAAACAATTCCTAGGTTATGGTCCTGACTTGTCGGAGTGTATGTATCACTGACCCCGTGTGTGTTTACTTCAGGCCGAGTACATCCACAACGGAGGCCAGTCAGCCATCGCCCGGTAACGGTCAAGGGAATCACCCGCAGTACATCCAGACATGATCGGCTCTCTCTAACGGTTCTGGGTTCAAACTGTCACCCTTGCCTGCCGTTGTGAACGTTTTAGTGTTTACTGGCATTGTCGCCATGTTGATTTACAGTGTGACTGCACAGTGACAGTACTGAGATGATAGTTTCATGCTGTAAATGAAGGTGTTCAGTCTTGCGAGTACAGACTATTCTCACTGGTGTTCTCTTCTCAAAATTGTGCTCTCGTTCTATACAGAAACACAAATCAGAAGACACAGTATAATAAAATTTCATGAAGAGATAGGTATTAAAAATATAATCACTGCTCAAAAGATATCCATTTTATTAATAAAGTTATTCAAACACAAGTTGATTTTCTGCAGTCTCATTTTTCCAAGAAAGTACCTTTTCTATTTCGGAAAAGGAACCACATGCCTGTTGAAGCCTAGCAGAAAAGGAGACATTTTAACCTTTGGGCAACATATATATGTTCACGCTGTGTGACCCTGTAGCAGATAAAATGAAAAATAACCTGAACATCCGGTAACTCTGACTACAGCGTCCACTAACTCAAGAAAGCACCCACAACGCAACACTCTAATCCCCACACTATTTAACCGTGTAGAAGTTTAATTGTCAAAATCAAAACTTTACTCAAAATATTGTTTGTTTGATGTTTAACGCCGCACTCAACATTATTGACGTTACATGACGGCGGTCTGTAAATAATCGAGTTTGGACAAGACAATCCAGTGACTGACCGATCGTCGTAACCCTGACCACCTGACCTGGTAAGTCACTTTTAACGACCAGCATGTGTTGCTGAAGAGAGTAAACCGGAATCTTCATGGGGACAGGTGTCAATACCAGTAATACGATGACACGCATCAGCGAGCCTGACCATTTGATCTGGTAAGTCACCTTTACGACCAGCATGTGTTGCTGAAGACAGTAAACCGGAATCTTCATGGGGACAGGTGTCAATACCAGTAATACGATGACACGCATCAGCGAGCCTCACCATTTGATCATGTTAGTCGCCTCACGCATGGATTGTCGTCCTCGACATCTCGTACAGCTTGCCGTATCGCCTCATGTGCCAACCTGACCGAGTCACTGTCCCGCTCAAGGAACGTCCCACAAAGTTCGGGAAAGATAGTGTAGCGATTCTCCAGGAACCAATCCACCGATATGGCCTTGGACTCCAACAGCTGTGTGAGGCAGACACTGTCCTTGGTCAAGGACGCGATGCAGACGTCTCCATCAGCGCACACCAGCAGAAGGGCAGCATACTTCGCAGGACACTCCTCGGCCAAACCTCTGACAGCATCTTGCAAGAAACGGGCGGGGTTTCTGAAAAATGCTACGGGGTCATTTTGAAATTGCTTCCATCTGAAGAACAGAGCACATGTTTGTGGAAAACCGTAAGGAGTTGACATGTTTGCTATTTGTTTAATGTCAACAGTGGCCATGGCGAGGTTGTGGTGTGAAATGTATTTTTCTAGAATAAGCATTTTTTCAGAATAAGTCAAGTCTACTTGAACAACGAGATCTTCTTTGAAAAGAGAATCACGCAGAAACCCCAACTGTTTGAAATACTCATTGAAGACATAGTCACGTGATGTCATGACCAGTTTGAACGTGGAGTTCAATGTCGGTTCTAGTTCTTCAAGGGCACGTTTCCATTTCTTAAAGGTTTCTTTGGGCACCTCAGTTTTTCCAAAAATATCATCAATCAGAAATATCGTAGGATTTTCAGGATTTCTCCTATATTTCAGTTCCTTTGGTTTTGTAATGATGAAAATGTCAAACCCTTCCTTTTGATAATCAGCGAGAATCTTGTAAGCCGTGGCAGTTTTTCCATCTCCTGGACTTCCAATGATGGTAACAAGAGATGCCTTTGTCAGACATGCAGCTGAGAACTTGTATGTTTTAGTAGGAACGAATACGTCATCGGCTTTACCAGTAACAGCCCTTGTATACTCTGTAACATGAGATATATTGTTTTGGATTAGACGAAAGTCTTACAAACATATCTACATGTACGATAGAGTTTTGTTTTATCACTTTGTGTTAGCTTGGTGTTTGGCGGAAAGTGGTGCAGCTTTGTGAAACCAATGAGCATGGGTATACTGCTGATAAACTTAGACATTAGGAAAACCGGGATTCGAACCCACGACCATCAGTTTCTGGTAGTCGTAACAACTCTACACGATACATCTGAATGGGACAGGCATAAACAATATTACATACAGACAATATTTATTTAGTTTGCAACACTCACAATATTGGAATTTATCATCCCAAACTGTGTTCCACAGGAAATAATACTTGTGCGGAATCAAACGATAGCTCCTAGTTTTGACAGTAGATTTTGTACAATGCTATGACGTCATGAAGTTGATGACGTCACAATGCTATCACATCGCTGCACTGCAAGTCTAATAGCAAAACCGTGTTCAGAGATGCACAGTTTTCGTTGAAAACTAATGAAGATCGATGATAAATAGAATCTTATCCTCGTGTCTTCTTATAACAAATATATCAACACTCGTTGATAAAAGTAAAAATATTCTCGACAAGCCTCGGATATTTGTAACTTTATCAACTCGTGGTGATGTATTTGATATCAAAAGACACTCGAATGAGATTCTCTATATCCTACATTTCAAGGGAATCATATATTTGGTCTATTATCTTGATGTAGCTGGACCCAAATATCGATTTGAAGTATAAAACATGCATAAAATATGTAAATAGATTACATATTTCGAGACACAAAGTAAACAAATTAAGAGACACTGAAAGATTAGAAGTTTTACCGTTATTATTATTAACTTGATGCAAGACCATGTAACATTTTGTTATGGACAGAACCCACGTACATTGTACCTTATTGCCATATTGTGGTTCATTGTAAGTCCTTGCTGTACCATTCATTGGTTAGAGTTTGACTTGGTCATGACATACCTTGAAGACGTCGGCTTTCGTAGTCGGGTAGGACGACCTCTTGAAGTAAGTTGACGTTACTGTTGGTGACTGTGACCTGTTCTGCCTCTGTGTGGTGTGTTTCGTTAACTGTAAGTCACACACACATATCAGAGTCGTGTCAGTAGTAAACAAAACGGTATCACGCGATTCAGGCAGAAACATGCTAGTTTAAACAAAATAGCAGGAGGTGCACTATTGATTCAGTGTACAGCAATAATAACACTTTATGTGTTTTTGCCAGTTCAGCTGCACCAATCAGTGAAGAAAGCTGCTTTCATGAGCTATCAATTTTGCTGACTTTCATTTGAAGATAAAGCTACTCTGTTTCCAATTTTGCTGTCATTTAAGGCCGCTAAATGTAATTTAAAAACAGAACACAGCACGGGACTCAAGAAATTGGCTTCACACATTGTACCCATATGGGGAATAGAACCCCCGGGTCTTCAACGTGAGGGGCGGTGGTGTGGCCTAGTGGTTAAAGCGCTGGCTTGTCACGCCGAAGACCTGGGTTCGATTCCCCGCATGGGTACAGTGTGTGAAGCCAGTTTCTCACTTCAACCTGAGGAGCGAACGCTTCAACCATTAGGCTATGCCACCGCAGCGAGTTTATTGAGTGTATTTCGAAAAACGAAAGTTCTCGGCCAATATTAGCAGCGTTTACTGTTAAAAAAGCAAAGACTATAAATGCTGGATTGTATTCAGTAATTATGTATCTCAGACGAGTGCTCCCCAGATCTAATAAACATATAGTACAGGAATTGAAAGATTCCATATAGGATTTAGGGTACCATCCTCCGACATGGTGTAATTCTCATTTACTTTTACATGGGAATCAGAGGTGACGTTGGAGATATAGATATGAACTATGTTATTGTCAAAACACTACTGTTGGAGGTACTCACCATGAAGGCTGCCATGAAGGTTTCCGACGGTGATAGCACGATCCACTACCCCTCCAGCTACCCCGGTCACTTTCAGACAAGAACATCCGTCGTCATTGTCTGAAATGGAACCGTTCCTGGCCACTGAATAGCTTACATTTATCCTTTATATTGGAGCTGAATCGTCAGAACCAAGATTTCCAGAGTTCCTACAGATACTTCTTACTGTGTGTGTGAGTCTGTGAGTGAATTTAGTTTTACATCGTTTTTAGTAATTTTCCTGCAATACCACGGCAGGGGACACAAGAATTGGGTTTCACATATTGTACCCATGTAGGGAATCGAACCCGGGCCTTCGGCACGACGAGCAAACGCTGTAACAACTAGGCTACCCCACCACCCTACGTCTTACTGGTAAGCGAACACAGCGTGGGACCATTTATAGAACTCATTCAATACTTTATCATAACTTGCCATAAATTATCATAGCATAGTAATTCATAAACGAAATGCTCATGCTAAAGTCGGAATGTTATAATGGACTCGGAATGTTATAATGATTACAGACGTGTGTTCTTGTCGCTCACTTTCCAACGTTTATTCCTCTTATTGTTCTATTCCTATTCCCACACCTTCTTTCTGCCCTCTGTTTGTTTAACGTCATATTCAGCAATATTCCAGCTAACTGATGGCAACTGTTAAGAATCGATTATGGACCGGACGATCCAGTGATTGATATATTGAGCACCAATCCATGTCAACGGGTACGAGGACCGTCCATCAACTAAGTCATTGACCAACTGATCCAATTCGTCGTATACCGAAGGTGTTCTAATTTATACATCTTGTATCCACAATGGTGAATATATGTTTGAAACGAAAACGAAAGTATGATTTACGACATGAAGTTACAAGAATGTCTGTAGGGTAGTGAAACATATATGCCAATACTTGAAGGTGAGTCAGTGAATGCTAAAACGGAGAGATATAAGCTATTTCGTTTCCATAGCAACCGGTGATTAAAAAGGATCCAAAGAACCAAATGTTTACATACTGTGAGAATTAACTGCACCCACAGTGACAACAGTGTTGGCCGTGCCGCCGCTGTTGCCAATCACGTTCAGTGTTGCCATGTTGTCCTTGTCAATCCAAGGTGAAGGTTAGTCTCCCGTAGGTCGTTACGGACGTGGCTTGTCTGCAGGTAAAGGGTTAATTCATATGCACTGGTAACTTCTACCTTGAAGTGGTGATCACCTTTCCGAGTGATCTTTCGGTAAATGCAACGAGGACCTAAATCTAACCTTTTCTTATAATTTGATGAACTCTAAACAGGGGTGGAAATAACCCATTGCCCGACGCCCGAGTCCAGTTTTTTTATCTGGGGGCAAGCATATTTGAATATCACACTGTACCGGTGTCCAGTTGACTTTCCAATGTTAATTATGTTGTTTATTTAAAAAATCAACAAGAAAATCGGCCAGTATAGTGGAAAAATT